GAGCTTCAGTCGTGTTTTTGGAACAACCAAAAGCAGCTGATCGGATGATCTCAGAGCCCGAGAGGGAACATATGGTTCCAGTAGCTCAGAGAGGTAGATGGGTGCGAGGCCATTTAGGCACTTATAGGTCAGGAGGAGAATTTTGAAATCATCCTAGTTCTCACAGGAAGCCAGTGTAGGGAGGACAGAACTGGTGTGATGTGCTCATACCTCGGTGTACCGGTTAAGAGCCGAGCTGCAGCATTCTGGACGAGCTGTAGCCGTGAGATAGAGGCCTGGCTGACCCCAGCATACAGTGAATTACAATAGTCCAGGCGGGTTGTGATGAATGCATGGACTAGTGTCTCAAGGTCGGGTCTAGACAGCACTGGCTTGAGCTTAGCTACCTGCCGCAGTTGGAAGAAGCTTCTCTGCAGAACTGAACTGATCTGTTTGTCAGTGTGGTGGCTGAAGCTGCCGGCTGCAGGCCACAGCTCCAGGATCAGGACAAAAAACAAAGGGCCCTGAAAACTCAGGACGGCCAAGAAAAAGGTCCAAAAAGAGAGCGACTGAGGTCCAAAAATGTGGGAGCATGAGTGAGTTCACAAACAAAATGAATCTGAGAATGCGAGCTCCCTGAAACCAGCCTGTTTATGGGCGGGCAGAAAAGGCCACAGCCCCAAACAGTTAAAGGCTGATTAGCCAACCCATAACCTGTCCACAGGGACAAAAAAATAAAGCCAACGTGCCCCAGGCACATGACAGTGGAGGAAACACTGCATTCAGGATTGTTGTGAGGAAATTCATGCTTTGGGTTTTGATCACTGACTGTTTATTGATGGGAGTATCATTGGCGGTAATCTCGTTTTTTAATAATCAGATTATTTTAAATTTATTTTCTGCATGTTTTTTATATAAATGTTTCGATGAAACCAGAGAAATAATTGATCTCTGCAGCCACCCGAGTTCCCTCTGGCAGCCTAATCTTTGTAGATGTGTTTCAACTTTCCTCTCATCTGGTTAGCCATCAATTTAAAAGGGATCTGTTGTAATTATGTTTGTGCTGTCTCACAGGTGAGCCTTGACTCATCACAACCTGATCACATGTCACTCTTCTATGACAGATACTGGGATCGGGAGGTCCAGCAAGCTAACAAAGAGATGCGAACCCCGGGGCTTGCAAAGATCATCATTCGGTGTTACTGGAAATCATACGGAGTGCTGGGAATCTTTACACTTATCGAGGTCAGAGTTGTCCATAGTAAAACTTCGTAATGAATTATTAAATGTTGTAGGGTTGGGCGATAGATTAAAATGTTTTTAATTAGCTATCGTTACCAATTTTGTTTGACCTCATGTACCACTTGAAAGACAATAATGTCACCTTGAACCTTGAATCATCAGTTCTACTACTGAAGACTGACGATACGTTCACGCAGATTTTATACGCATTCATTATCTTTACCCACTTCTCCTTTTGAGTCGTGGGGGGCTGGTGTTTAT